GCATTTGGAAGCATCATTGTGGCATTTTTGTTTTCTTTTGGTGTTTTTTTTTTGTCATTTTTACTTCCTAATGATATTTTCTCATATCTAATATTTTTCTCCCTCCAGTTTTCTAAAAATATTGTCTACCTTTTATTCTTTTTTTTTCCTTTCTTTTCTTCATTATTTTCCTCTATTGTTTATTCATGTGTGTTATTTTTCTTCTGTTTTGCCTCGATTCCGTCTTTCATATTGCAAGTTGTTTCTTTTCTCTATATGTGTGCTTTTCTTTTTGACTCAAAAGCATTTCTTTTCTATATCATTTTCTTTTTTAACTGTCTTTTTTTTCTGTTCTTTCTTATTTTGGACCATTCACGTTTCAGCCATCTTACTCTTTCTTTTCAACGTCTGTTTCTTTGTTTTTTCTTCTATCTCTAGACTCTCTGTTCTTTCTTTCTTTCTGCCTCATAGGTATAAATCTGTCAATAATGTTTCTTTCTTAAAGTTAATAAGAAAACCAATCTGTTAATCATTCTTTCTTTTGTTTATGGCTAAATAATTTTCTCTCTTCGATTGTAAATCTTTACGTTAATCGTTTCTTTGAATCTTTTCTCTCTCTCTCACTTTTATTCTTTTATTTTTTCTTTCTTTTTTTCTTCCTCCCTTTATTTATTTATTTATTTCTACTTGACAGCTTATATGCGTATCTTAATTTCTTTTTCCCCTTTCTTAATTTCCACCATCTCCTATTCTTTCTTTTCTTCCTTCCTTTCTTTCTTTCTTTCTTTCTTTTTTTCTTTCTTTCTTTCTTTCTACCTTAGAATTAATATGCAAACCTGATCGTTAATATGCTTTTCTTTCTTTCTTTCTTTCTTTCTTTCTTTCTTTCTTTCTTTCTTTCTTTCTTTCTTTCTTTCTTTCTTTTAGAATAATTCTTACAATTATTATGTAGACCTGATTTTCTCTTTTTAAATTCTTTCTTTTATGATTTTTCTCTTAGTTTCCTGCTATTTTTTCTTTACATATTCCTTTTTTCTTTCTTTGGTTAATTGCTGGCAGGATTTTTTTTCTATTCAATACTTTTTCTTGGATTTTCACTCCTTCCTAATTCGTATACATTTTATTATTTTCACTTTCTACTTTTCTATTAATTCCATTCCACATTTATTAATTCCTTCTTTTCATAAATTATTTTTATTTCTCTTATTTGTTTCCTCGTCCTTTCTTTCTTTTTTTGATGCTGCCTACGTATCTTTCTCCCCCTCCTCTTAATTAGTTATCTTTCTTTATTTCTCATTCTTTCATTTGCCTTTTTTTTTTTTTTTTTTTTTTTTATTTTTATTTTGTATTCAATTTTTTTTCAATGTTTTTTATTTCATTTTCTTTTTTTATTAGAATTTCATTCATTTTCTACTGCAGAGTTCAAATATCTTTTGTTTTTCACCTTTTTCCGTATTCTTTCATTCCAACTTGCTTTCTTTCTTTCCGAGTAGCTTTCTTTCCAACTTTCTTTCTTTCTTTCTTTCCGAGTAGCTTTTCTTTCTAACTTTCTTTCTTTCTTTCCGAGTAGCTTTCTTTCCTTTTTTCTTTCTTTCTTTCTTTCTTTCTTTCCAACTTTTTTCTTTCTTTCCGAGTAGCTTTCTTTCCAACTTTTTCTTTCTTTCTTTTCTTTCCAACTTTCTTTCTTTCTTTCTTTCAACTTTCTTTCCAACTTTCTTTCTTTCTTTCCGAGTAGCTTTCTTTCCAACTTTCTTTCTTTCTTTCAGACTAGCTTTCTTTTTTTTCTTTCTTTCTTTCTTTCCGGGTTTCTTTCTTTCTTTTCTTTCTTTCTTTCCAACTTTCTTTCTTTCTTTTCTTTCTTTCTTTCTTTCTTTTCCGAGTAGCTTTCTTTCCAACTTTCTTTCTTTCTTTCTTTCCGAGTAGCTTTCTTTTCCAACTTTCTTTCTTTCTTTCCGAGTAGCTTTCTTTCCAACTTTCTTTCTTTCTTTCTTTTTCCAATTTTTTAAGCTTTCTTTCTTTCTTTCTTTCTTTCTTTCTTTCCGGTAGCTTTCTTTCCAACTTTCTTTCTTTCTTTCTTTCC